TATATATACTTACATACCCTTTTGCACCCTCACAGCATGTGCCTTTGGTGACTGCGACAGTGTGCTTAAGCTGATTCATTTCGGGGTACCCTTCCGCAAGGACCGTCACAGCCACACGCCCTGTGATGTGCTGCGTTTGCACCACTGCACACACACACTGCGATGTGTTAAGCACTTTACAACCAATCGCTGCGAATGGCCCCCAAGCCTTGCTAAACTGTGTAGACTGGCCCTACTAGCGCAGGTTAGTGCAGAGGTGTATACTATATGTGCCTGTGGGTGCTTGTGTAAGTGCTTGTGTATGTGTACGGGCTGTTGACTGTGTGTGTGTGTGTGCACGGGTGTTATATGTACTTCTGTGTGTACGTCCGTAGTTGAGTGTGTGTGTGTGTTTGTGTGTGTGGGTGTTGTGTGTGTGTATGTGTGTGTGTGTGTTGTGTGTGTATATGTGTGCGTGTGTGTGTGCATGTGCACGTTTGAATTCTCTATGTGTGTACATGTTCATGTTTGTATGTTTGATTGTGTGTACTCGAGGCTAGCTTATATGTACATGCGTGCTATAAGCTCTGATGCGTATGTGTCTGGACGTGTGCACGTGTTTGTTATGCATGCGTGTGAGTGAGTATTTGAGGTGTCTTAATTCTCTTGGCTGTGCTTTCGCCTGCTATATACCTGATGCGTATGTGTGTGTACGTTCGTATGCTTTCTATTCGATCTATAGTGAATCTGATCGCTAGTTTGTGTAGTATTTTCATTGGTGTGTGTAATCTATAAATAGTAGTCTATAAATAGCAATCTATTAATAGTAGACTATAAGTAGTAATCTATGAATAGTACTCTAGAAATGGTAGTCTATAAATAGTAATCTATAAATAGTAATCTATATATAGTAATCCATAAATAGTAATCCATAAATAGTAATCTATAAATAGTAGTCTATAATTAACATTTAACACGTGTTTAGCCCATGCACTAATGTCTTCTCTGTGCGCTCTCCCATGCTCAGCATCGTCCTTTCAGCTCTGCTGAGTTGACTTGTCTGCCTGTGGACGTGTGTGCCTTTGTGTTTGGAGAGGGCCGTTTCTCCTCCGTCGCACATGTGTGCACACATGCGCATGTGGACCCAATTGTACCCGATGCGGAGTTTCAGGACAGGTGTGTGGGCGAGAGGACGTGTCCTGAATTTTATTCAGGTGCATGTGTGAGGACGTGTCCTGAATTTTATTCGGGTGCATGTGTGTGGGGGATGGTGCTGATAATGGGCCGCTCTGATGTACTGTAGTAGTCTCTATAGCTATACACTATTAGTATACTGCAATTATAGACTACCATATTACATACTACAGTCTATAGTGTACTACAGTAGATGAATCCCTGCCGGTACAGCCAGACCCCATATATGGACAGCAGGGTTGGTATTAAACCCCAAAACCCCAAAACCCTAAAACCTTATAGCTCTATGAACTCTTATAGAGACAATAATTACGAAAGAGATGCACAATGCTTCAGCCTGGTCTGTGGCAGAGTAGTAGCGCTTCCATTGATTTATAAACGTTCGTAGCACTCATGTACATCGAGCACACCCATTCGGTTAGGCTCATAACTAAAACCCTATCTGCATTCATGGCTCATCTACATAAACGTTCATAGCACTCATGTATATCGAGTACACCCATTCCGTTAGGTTTATAACTTTTCGTTAGGTTCATAACTAAAACCCTAACTGAACTCATGGCTCATCAACATAAACTTTCATAGCACTCATGCACATCAAGCACACCCATTACATCAGGTTCATTACTTTCCGTTAGGGTTATAACTAAAACCCTAACTGCACTCATGACTCATCTACACTTGTATTACACTGTCCACTGACACCTGCAGCAGCAGCCATAGTGAACGCGAGGGTGAGCAGATAAACCCAACAGACGTGACAATGGTTGTACGCCACAGCCAGGACAAAGAAGTGGACTACTATTATGCACTGGAGGCACTAACCACCACACACAACAACATCATGCAGGCCATTGAGGTAAGGTGTTACACATGACACAACAACATCATATGACTGTGGCAGAACACACGTTGGTACCAATACAATTGTTGTAAATGTATGTTCAGGCCAATACGTTTATGTCCAAGGGTGGATATGGTATCGTGATCAGGCGGGGGAAGGCTATGGTTGCCACACTGTGACGAATAAAGGAGTATACGCTCACTATTGAAGATAGGTGGACGTGTGTGTTGCGAACGTGGGAGTGAGCGAGTGAGTGAGTGTGTTTAGATGTGTTTTGGTATGAATCGACCCATGGCACATGCAATTGTATATGAATCGAGCATTGACATTTGTAGTTCATATGATTAGGCCAACTACATAGTTAATTAGTATGAATTAATTAATTGCATATGTACTTAAGGTTACAAGATCAACTACATATGGACTTGATATGAATAGACCAACTATATATGTAATGGCAATGTGGTTGGATTAGTCACCCCCTGAGTGTGATTGTAGTACAAGTTGTCAATTATTTTGCGACACACATGTATAATGAAACACATTTTACTGTTTGTTGGAAACAGATCGTGACGCCCAGGCGCAGTACACGGATGCGGGGACTTGACATGACGTGAGAGAAAGTAACAGAAAATAATAAACGACATAGAAAAGGCCATAATAAACGGCAGATGGTTTTAGCAGACTAATATACGACATGAAGCACCATGAACAACCTTTTTGGTGCAGCTAAAGCAGAATATACAGTATAGCATTGTGGGCTAATAACTTTTGGATGACACAGTAATTTAAGAATATGAAAGTTAAAATAATCAGCGTTTGTACTTTATATGATCAAAGTAGTGCAATAGCTTACAAGGTTGTGAGGACTGATCACCGCACAACCTAAACTTATATAGCCTTAACCTAGACATTGCCTCCGGTCAGACCCTTTGGTCACTGACGCAACATCTCACTTCTGTGTGCCCAGTGATTTCACCACATATTCTACACTACTTTCACACTAAGCTACTATTTAGTTTTATGCTCTTCTTCTATTGGCCTACGCATACCGAATCAGCTGTAGACGTAAACCTATATCATAAGACATACAACATTTCTCCATCACCCTAAAAACTACCCCTCATAATGACTCATTACTGGACATGAGACATCAAACATGACTCACTACTACACGTAGACCACACACATATTACAATATATATACACACACACACACACACACACACACACACACACACACACACACACATATA